TTTAGTTTGACACAATTTTACCACTGCAAACCAGGACAGTTTTCAAAGAAAGCTAAATTTAAGCAGAAACCAGACCATCTGAACAACTGCAAATTCTTCGCCTAAACTTCTTCAGCAAATTAAATGTGATAAGATACATATTAGAGCTTTTCTTTTTTAATTTTGTTTAAAGAAATAGTAATGTTGTTGTTGACCATTGTTCCAAATTTGTAACAATTCCTAAAGACAAGTTACGATATGTTCTTTCAATCCTGCAAGTGTGGTTGCAATTTCCAGTGCATAGCTGGTTGAACTACCATTTACTAGCCTACTGACACCTTCCATTACTTGTACAATTCTGACAGTCTAGAACTGCTTGGACTCCCATTGCACTTCAAAAAAGAAAGATATAAGCATACTCCAAAACTCATGTAGTTTTAAGTTCTTGCTTTAGCACTAGGTATCACGGCATATTGAGTACTATCAATAACAATACTTATATACTGAGCATTACAGGTTTGTACTTCTGCCATACTACTTCTGACAGCACAAACCAGATTGATACTCTTGATCACTGCAAGTTAGAAGTTGGATAGACTGACACTTCCACTTGTTCCGAGCATCACCAATATGCAGATACTCCTACATTCAGCTTTAATCAGATATCTTATACTTTAAATTTCAATATCATCAGTATCATATTAACATCATCAATATCATATTAACAGACAGATGTTTTGCTACTTTTTATTAGGTGATGTAGCTTTGTAGAATTAGCAAAGAAATAAAATTCAACAAAACTTCATTCTGTACAATAGCTGAATTTAAATATATTACAAGCTTACAAAGCTCATGGCATAGTTCATTTCCACTCTGGACTTTAAAAAAATCTACCAGAATGGATGCCCCATTACCACTGTATATCTACCAGCTGCGAAATGGACAGCTTTTAGCTTGCAGGGAGGGGGGAGGGGTAGGACAATGACACCTGACAGACGACAATTCGTACAACACGTGACCCCACTCCTACAATATTACCAGTAGTGAGGATTTAAAAGTACAAGTCAAATTCAGTTAGAAATAGTCTCTTAGAAATGTACATATAAAGAATAGCAAGATACCAATTTTTCCAACAAAATGATCTTCCTTAGTTTGCCACTTAAAACAGCTCCATAATATCCAGAAGCTTTATTTGAAAATTCTGATGCCTTAAATACTTCTACTACAGTTAAACAATCCTGAAAGGTGTCAAATCAATGAACCCAGTAAATATATCCTTTTTGTTTTTTATAAGAAAAAAAAACCAAAAAAACCTACTACCTCTCTCCTAGTTAGAACAGCTGGGACCAGTTCATCACTGTATGGGTGTAACCCAAAACTGTGTATTCTATAGCCTTCCATGCCATTTCCCAGAAACTGTTATCAGTAGACTATTTACACCCTCTGCCCAGAGCAGCCTGACTCCTCAGGCTATAGACTGGATGTTAAGAGGCCTGCGAGATAGGAGGGTGCTTTTGTCCTCATATCCTTTGCGGAACTCCCCGCCCTGAGGGAGGTATTGGGCATTCCTGCCTGAACTAGAGAATATATAATCTTGGAGTCTTGGAACTTTTTTAACCACTCGTGGGATCCAGAGGAAGACTGCAGATCACTGCTCTCAACCAAACTGCAGACCACCGCTCTCAACCAGACTGCAGACCATCACTCTCGACTGGACTGCAACCACCACTTTTCAACCAGACTGCAACCATCACTCTCAACCGGACTGCAATCACCACTTTTGACCAGACTGCAACAGCACTCTCACTCCATGATCATCTCACTCCATGAGGATCAGCACGGCCAAGTCAGATATGGCAATGCACTTTCTGAGCCCTATCTAATAACTAATGGTGTGAAACAAGGCTGCGTTCTCACACCAACCCTATTCACAATCTTTTTCAGCATGATGCTCCAAAGGGCCACAGCAGACCTCGATGATCAGGATGGTATCTACATTCAATACCGTAATGATGGAAGCCTATTGTCCTAGTTGGAACAGCTGGGTCCAGTTCATCACTGGATGGGTGTAACCCAAAACTGCGTATTCTATAGCCTTCCATGCCATTTCCCAGAAACTGTTGTCAATAGACTATTTGTACCCTCTGCCCAGAGCAGCCTGACTCATTAGGCTACAAACTAGGTGCTAAGAGGCCTGCGAGATAGAAGGGTGTTTTTGTCCTCACGCCCATTGAGGAATCCCCCGCCCTGAGGGAAGTACTGAGCATTCCTGCCTGAATTGGAGAATATATAATCTTGGAGTCTTGGGACTTTTTTACCACTCGTGGGATCCAGAGGAAGACTGCAGATCACCGCTCTCAACCAGATTGCAGACCACCACTCTCGACTGGACTGCACCCACCACCCTCGACCGGACTGCAATCACCACTTTTGACCAGACTGCAACAGCACTCTCA